AGACATGGAAGCATGAGGGTCCTTGTTGGGAAGAAGAAAGGATTTGGTAGGAGGAAAAGGGACTAAGATAAGATAATGGGAATATGATCAACATACATTATATATGTATGAAGCTGTGAAAGAATAAATTAATTTCAAAAAAAAAAGAAAGAAAAGAAAGGACACAAGAGCCTCTCATTGTCCAGAGCCCGGGAGAAGGTAGGTCTGTAGGTTTCCGTATGACTGACTATTAGGGAAGGATCAGGAAGAGCGTGGAATCAATGCCTAGCTCTGGGTGCAAGACGAAGGTTTCTGGCCTGAACTCTGAGGACTTCCCCCTTCCATTCCTCTCCCAGCCTGGCCTGACTCTCTTCCCGCCCTATGGTTTTCAGTTTTGCTGCCACCCAGAGAACTTCCAGAATCCAGAGCAGGCGTCCCTTTGCCAACCACGACCCGTGGAGGGAGCTGTGCAGGATACAGATGGGTGTGAGGTTGGCAAGACTCCGACGTGTCTTGGAGCAGCTTCCACTTGTGAGGAGAGAGGCCGGCTGTACTGGCCAACCCCCGCCCTCCCTCGGCTTCTCTGGTGTCCACTCAGGCCTTAGTCCTAGGCCCTTGACTAAATAAATAGGTAAATAAAACAAATAAACCAAAAAAAAAAAAAAAAACAGGAAAAGCCACCTCTCCCTGGCAGGCAATACAGAGAGTTGGGTCCAGCAGGACGTTGCCAACCTCGCAGCTTCACCAGGACTCAGTGACAGGTACCTCTGCCTGCCCAGGGAGGCATAGATAGTCTTCTGGTCTTGGAAATGCTCACAGCTGTACAAACCTGTGTTTCCAACCTCTGACCTTGATCCATGCCCACACCTTGAAGCAAAACTTAGGAGCCCGTTCCGACCTAGAGGGCTCACAGGTCACAGCTGACCTGTCTGACCAGAGGCTCAGGCCCTTCTTTCTCTGCCTCGCCCCAAAGGCAATAATGGCTGCCATGGGCTCTGGCCTGGGATGAGAAGCCTATGCTGCTCACCTGACTCCTGTCTGGCTGCTGCTCTCTCCTTCCACACATTCCCTGGAAGTCACACCACACCAGGACAGACTCTTTGCTCATTCCTCCCTTCAGCCAGCACTCCCGGAACATTTTGCTGGTGCTTGACTTGGGATCCAACACTCATTTGTTCAGTACACAGACACGTCCCTGTGTCTGCCCTTCGTGGAAGGAGATAGAAGGAAACCAACGAACGGAACAGTGTTCTGCCTCTTCCTCTGGGAGTATACTTCCCACGGAGAAGTCAGGCAGAAGAGAATGTAGGAAGAGCTGTGAAGAAGGGTGTTCAGATGGGAGAGAAGCCATTTATTACAAGGCTACGCTGTGGCTGTAGACAAGAACCCTGTCTGGTCCAAGAGAATTTGTGGCCTCCATTCTTGCTTTGTTTGTGTATACAAAAGACTACGTAAGCCGGGCGTTAGTTGTGTAATCCTTTAATCACACCACTGGGGAGGCAGAGGCAAGAGGTTCTCTGAGTTCAAGGTCAGTCTAGTTTACAAAGTGAGTTCCTGGAGAGCCAGGGCTACACAGGAAATACCCTGTCTCGGAAAGACAACACACACACACACACACACACACACCAAAGGTTTTATGAAAAAGCAAAATAAAGCAGGAAGGGGTTACAGAGCGGGTCTGGAAACCAAGTCCGTCAAGGTAGGCAGGTGAGGAGGAACAGCCTGGGTCTGGCCTCCGAGTGTCCCAGAAAGATCGCCCGCCGGAGGGGCTTCTCGGTGAAAGTTTACACGATCAAGCAGACTCCTCTTAGGCTCAGACTCTATCAGGAAAGGCTCCCAGGCCTTTCGGCTGTGGACGCGCAGAAGGATGGGTTAGGTCTGGTCAGCCCAAGAGAATACCCAGCCGGTGCAAGTCTTCTCTTTCCTCCCCTGGGCACGGATAAAATAGCTCCGCCCACATTGGAGGCGTGGTGGGAGATACTTAGGACAGAAACGCCTAGGCCTCGGGGACTAGAGGGTCTGTCCTGGACCGTGCACCTTAAGCTTGGGGGCAGGGGTAGAAGGGATCTGGGGTCTTATGCATAGCCTGGAGCGCAGTTAGACGTAGATACCAGGTCGTGGGATTCTGGTCCAGGAGCCTGGAGAGGGACGGTACTAAAAGGGATTGAAGAGGGGCGGAGCCAAAAAGGACCGAACTGAAGCCCCAACGGAGAAGAGGGCGGGGTCCGGGTGGAGGGGCTGCGCCCTGGGCCGGCCTCTCCGGGCTCTGCGCCTCCCGCCTGTGGTCTCGTGATGTTGGTCATAAGGTCTCGAGTGCCGACTGAGCCAGCAGCTGCGGTTGGAGCATGGCCTCGGAGCAGGATGTGCGTGCACAGCTGCAGCGCGCTGGCCAGGATCATCTCCTTCGCTTCTGGGCTGATTTGGCTCCGGAGTCTCGAGCGGCGCTACTGGCGGAGCTCGCCTCACTGGAACCCGATGCCCTGCGTGAGCACTGCCAGCGCGCCTCGGCTGCCTGCGCGCAAGTCCCGGGTCCTTTGCCCGACCTGGAGGCGCGCCTGCAGCCCCTGCCCCCGGAACTCGTGGGCAGCGCGATCCGCTGCGACCTAGAGACACGCCTGCGGTGGGAAGAGGAAGGTAGGCAGCGCCGTACGCGACGGGGGTTGGGCAGGCGCTGCCCATCTTGTCCTGAAGAGTTAGTGCCTACGGGGAAGGGGAGGGTGGCGGTTTAGGAAGTGCTGTGTGGAGTTTTTTTCCTTGCACGTCCTTCCTCCTGCGCTTAGTAGACCCCGAAGTCGTGCAGTAGCAAGCTCATGAGTGGCTCTCTCTAGAGAAAGAAGAGGCCTTTTCTCATGACGCGCCTCCCCTCCAGGTTTCCGACAGATTGCTCTGAACAAGGTGGCTGTCCTGCTGCTGGCCGGTGGGCAGGGCACTCGCTTGGGCGTCACCTACCCCAAGGGCATGTATCAAGTAGGGTTGCCCAGCCAGAAGACCCTGTACCAACTGCAGGCAGAGCGGATCCGCCGCGTTGAACAGTTGGCTGGCCAGCGACTGGGAACCCACTGCACCGTGCCCTGGTGTGTCCTCCCTGTCAACCTCCCAGAAAGACCACCGTTACTTAAGTGACCCAGGCCTGCCCCACACCAGTGCCTGAGACCCAATTCTAGCACAGCCCTTGAGAGCCCAGTTCCTGCCCTTACAGAGCCCCATGCAGATTTGTGAACCAGATTCCTCTGGAAGCCATTCACTGCCGGGACTTTTACAGGTACATCATGACCAGTGAGTTTACACTGGGACCCACCATCAAGTTCTTCAAGGAACATGACTTCTTCCACCTAGACCCCGCTAACGTGGTCCTGTTCGAGCAGCGTATGCTACCGGCTGTGACCTTTGAGGGCAAGGCCATACTGGAACGGAAAGACAAAGTTGCCATGGCGCCAGGTATGGCCCACACCTTGGACAGGGAAGGTTTGGACCACAGAGGGCAGCTGTGGGCCAGGAGGCCGGGCTCCCCAGTAAGATGTGCTCAGGCAGGCTGTGTGGCCCCAGCTCAGTCTGGAGTCTCATCTGTCACATGATACAGTCACAAGGCTCTTGGTGACTTCCGCTCCTGCTGCATTTACCAGACTCAGGTGATCAAGCCGGAGTCGGTGGGAAGACCCATTCCTTTCTCCCTTGCAGATGGCAACGGTGGCTTGTATAGTGCACTGGCTGACCACCAGATCCTAGAGGACATGAAGCAGCGGGGCGTGGAGTTTGTGCACGTTTATTGTGTGGACAACATCCTGGTGCGGCTGGCTGACCCAGCCTTCATAGGCTTCTGTGTGCTTCGCGGAGCGGACTGTGGCGCCAAGGTGAGTGCCAAGCTTTCGTTGTCCTTGGCGCTTGGCTCTGTCTCTTGCACAAACCCTGTCCCTCTTCTCATCCCCGTCACTCCCAGCACTCTTGAGTCCCTATACCTGGTGGCTGCAGGTGGTGGAGAAAGCATACCCCGAGGAGCCTGTGGGCGTGGTGTGCCAGGTGGATGGTGTCCCCCAGGTGGTGGAATACAGCGAGATTAGCCCTGAGACTGCTGGGCTGCGAGGGGCTGACGGGAGCTTGCTCTACAACGCAGGCAACATCTGCAACCATTTCTTCACCCGCGACTTCCTGGATATGGTCACCAGGTGTGTGGCAACAGGTGGCTGTTAGAATCTAAGAATCTAAGAGTCTCTACCTCCCACAACAGCTAGCGCTGACCTAGCCTGAGCTGGGCCCCTGTTGGGAGTGCAAAGGGGTCGGGTAACGAGAATTTCTGTCACTATCAACAAGCCAGATCCCACCTGAGTCAAGCTCTGGGCAGCCCGGATGAGACCCTTAGTCAAGGCTATCTTGACCCCCTTGCTCGTGGATGCCACCTCCGCCCTGTCCTTAGCCTTGGGCAGCATTGGCTGATGGTTCCTGGCTTCTGGCCCAGGGGATACTGGGAGAAAACCTGTGTCCTTCCCAGAGATGTAGCTAGTTCCTAGTGCCGCCTCACCGGACCGGGTACACACATGTGAAGACTGGTGTTCTGGGGTGTCCTGTCTGAACCACACCCTTTTTGCCCTCCTGCCACCAGGGAGTTTGAGCCCTTGCTGAAGCTGCATGTGGCTGTGAAGAAGGTCCCGTACGTGGATGAGGAGGGAAATCTGGTAAAGCCGCTAAGACCGAATGGGATAAAGATGGAGAAGTTTGTGTTTGATGTGTTCCAGTTTGCTAAGTTAGTGGTAGAAGTCACTTCCTTTTCTCTTCTTCCCTCTCTTTGTTCTGGCAGTGGGTTCAGAGGTCCCGTGGGACAGTAGGGGAATGGAAGCTCGGTGAGGGCAGGGCAGGGGTGGGGGAGTGAGGGACTATAGTCTGTCTCAGGGAAGTCCAGAGGGTGTTCCCCCAAGAGCAAGAGCACAGGTCTGAGAAGACCACAATCCAGACCCAAGATTGGGTTTTGGAGTTGCTAGGTGAGTCCCGGTGTTCTCTACCTCTGAGCCTGTGGCAAGTGAGAGTTGGAGGATTTGAGGCTTCTTAGGATCTCAAGATGCTTCTGTGCCTGTGGGGCCCTCCTAGACCACCATCCTCACAGGAACAGATTCCCATTTAGGGAAATCTGGCCTCCCCTTGCCTGTCCAGATCGGAACAGCTGGCTGGGATGCAGCATAATGAACCCGTCCTTCTCTCTCCCAGGAACTTCGTTGCCTTTGAAGTATCTCGAGAGGAGGAATTCTCCCCACTGAAGAACGCAGACACAGCCAGCAGGGACAACCCGTCCACCTCCAGGAGAGCCTTGTTGACTCAGCACTATCGTTGGGCTCTGCAGGCCGGAGCCCACTTCCTGGATGTGCATGGAGTCCAACTTCCTGAGCAGTCTGGGGAAGAGGCTCTGAGGTTAGCCTGGGGAGCAGCATTCTCTTCCCAGGGACCTGTTGATTCTGCCACCGTCTCGGCTGGCTTCTAAGACAGCACCACACCAAATGAGGCAGCAGTGTGACCGCCTGCTTGGTGACTCGGCCTCTTAGTCTCAAGTCAGAGAGGCAGGGTCTCGGATGTCCCCAAGTGTACTCTCCTAAGCTCTGAAGATGAGACCTAAGTCTGACCCTGAAAGAGATACAGGGAAGTCTGACCTTCAGGATGTGGGGAGGGAAAGGACCTTTCGTGTCTGTCTCCCCTGTTACTGTGCTTGGAAGTGCTGCTGGCCTGGCTGCCTGAGCTCCGTGCAGGGATCCTGTGTAGTGATTTGTGTAGCTAGGTCAGAACCTGTCACTTGGCAGATGGCATGCATGGGTTTGGGCTGTGTAGAGGGAGGAATCTGCTGTGGAGATGCGGCTAGACTAGCGTGTGACATTGATGCTGGACAGGCGCTTGCCTCTTCATGTTCCGAGGGTGCTGGGGGTCCCAGCATTCACTACAGAGACTGATGCTGACCATTGCTCTCCCCTAGCTTTCTCCCAAATGGAGACCCTCCAGCCCTCTGTGAGATTTCGCCCTTGGTGTCGTACTCTGGAGAGGTGAGTGTGCAGGCCCTGTCCAGGATTTCGTGAAGTCTGGTTTGTGTGAACCAGAAGAAGAAAATGGGAGAAGCGGGCAGTGGGAGGCAGACAGGTCACAGCCCTGCTTCAGCTGGCCGATGAATGAGGGGTCTGAGAGTCTAGAGGCCTTTGCAAGTCTAGGGAGGGGACAGGGGACAGGAAAGAATCAAGGCTGAGACCCAGACTTAGGGGAGTCTTCCTGAAGGAAGGAAACTAGCCCTCTCCTGACCCTGACAGGGTAGCACTGGAATGCTGTTTTGGGGTGGCTGGAGTGGGTATAGGCAGATGAGGCGGACCCTTAGCCGCTGAATCCTTTGTTTCTAGGGGCTGGAGAAGTACCTGCAAGGCCGAATCCTCCAGTCTCCATTTCTTCTGGATGAGGACCAGGCCAGGCTGCTGCAGCCACAGGAGTGCTAACCTGCTTGCTCCCAGTCTCTCCAGCCCTGGGGGTCCTCTAGAGTGCTGATACCACTCTGGCCCAGGCTTTCAGTAGAAATACTGGCCTGCAGGATACGGAAGGGCGCGTGCTAGTTTACATCACAAGGTTGGGACCTCTTGGGTCCCCCATGGACTGTGGTTGTCTGTGTGTGTGGTTTTTGCCTCATTGCTGGCTCTGGGGCTCAGCGGGTTGGGGACCTTGGGAAATGGGGCCTGAGGCAGGGTGTGAGGAGGTGTTATCTAAGAAGGCAACACAGGAGATGCCCAGTAACATCCGCATCCGCCCTGCCAGCACACAGGCCAGCCACATCATTAGCGAACATTCAGATATGCCTCCTGGGGGAATGGTTAAAGGAGCGCCCCCAGCAGCAGAACCAGCAGCTAGCTGAACATGTCACCCCATGTGCCACTTCTCTCCAGGTGTATGCGCTCCTGTTCATTCCTGTCCGCTTTCCCAGAGGAGGTTGCGGGCGAGTATATTTACCCTGGGGTGTGGAAGGAGTGGGTTTGGACACGGGAAAGATGGCAGGATCGGGCCCACAGCCACCACTGTTGGGAGTGACGGGTAGAAGACACACTGGGCTTTTGCTGAGCTCTGTGGTCATCTTCCTGTCCGCCTCAGAGGCAAACTGTATTTTTGTGTCCTTCCCTTACTGCTCCACAGGCCTGGAGCAGGAGACAGCCCCTGGGGAGATCAAAGTCTCAGGCTCTTCTTGAATAAACAATCAATGGGTAAATTCTTGAAGGAGTTTTTAAAAAAAGATTCAAAGAGGTCTCCATGTCCTTCACCCATTTCTCAGGTGATTGCATCTTACATGATTATAAGACAGTATCAAACTGGGGATGATAGAGTATAGTGCTTATAGAGCTTTCGTGTGGCTATGTTTAGTGTACCCCTCTGTCAATCAAGATCATTGCTCCCTCACCATAGAGCTCACCATAGTCATACCCCACCATTCCTAGTCCCAGACTGCCCTGAAAAGATTATTGACTTTTGAAGAGTGGACGTTATTTTCACAGATAGGACATTTTCGGTAACTCCCAGCTGCAGGGGTTGGTTTATCTTTTTTTTGGGGGGGGGGATCTTGTATCCCAGGCTGGCCATGAATTAGCTACAAAGCAAAGGATGACTTTGGACATCTGCCCCTGCTGACAGGACGCTTAGTTTATGGGGTGGTGGGAATGAACCCGGCGCTTCATTTGCATGGTGGGCAAGCGCTCTGTGACAGCTCCAGCCTCTGGTGCAGACAGACACAGGGATGGGTATATCCGAGGGATGGGGCTTTGGAACAGCAGGCTGCCCATGAAGCCCTCCTTGCTTCTATCTACCTCTTCACCAGGAGCTTGTAAAAACCCAAGACCTGGCACAGCCCAGAAAAGACTTGTAGTAGGCCTGGTGGCTTGCCCATATGCACTTCCCATTTTGATAAGCAAGTATTTTTTTTTTCAGGACAGTAGAAAGCATAAAGCATCCCTTGGCAGCATTGCTGGGACTGGCTGCTGGTGTGTGGGGGAAGATAACAAGGAGGGTGGTAAATGTGACCTCAAGAAGGAAAGGAGACCTGAGACCAGGAACATTTTCAAATTCAGAGAAACCACAGGCCAGGCAGGCTTGCCATGTGGGGAGCTCTTCAGGCACCCAGAAACACACAGCCAGAGTCCACATGGTAAATGTGTAGCTGGAACCTGGGTGTGGTGGCACACGCCTTTAGTCCCAGTACTAGGGAGGCCGAGGCAGGCAGATCTCTTGAGTTTGAAGGTAACCTGGTCTACATAGCAAGTTCCAGGCCAGCCAGAACTACATAGTGAGTCCCCGTCTCAGAAACAAACCTAGAGCAAACATGAGACAGGGAGCCCCAGGTTTGAGCATTTACTTGGAACCATGTGTGCAGGAAACATAAGTAGCTTGCCCTACAGCATAGCTTTCACGACCATGGGCTGAATAAAACTTCCCTGTTCTATCCTTTATCCATAGGGGTAGCAGGGAGGGCCCGGCAGTGCCCTTAGGTGCACAGGACTCTGGTCTAGCCCTAGTCATGAGAAAGCAGGCTGGGCCTGTTCTGGGTTCTCCTGCATAGAAGACAGCGGTCTTCATACTGAGCCTTACATGGGTTTCCTCCTTCTTATACAGTAGAAGTCTATTGTATCTCCAGCTCTAGTACCCACCAAACCTATCACACGTCAGGAAACCAGCCCGGAAAATCATCAGTGCTAAGAACCAACCTCGCTTCCATCCAGCCTTCTGTGGCCTGGTTTCTGCATCTGTTCCCTGCTTTTGCTTTCAGCCCTGAACCTTTCAGTCTTTAACCTTTCTTAGTGTTTCTGTGACCCTCACTGTGTGGTACGAAGTATGTGATCTCTGAGAGCTGCTGCTGTTAGTAACCGAGACTGGAGTGGACTAAAGGAACCCATGCTTGCCAGTGGTCACGAGCACCAAGCAAAATCCCGAGTGCCCAGTGAAATCAAGATAGCTTGTGAATTATCCAAGACATAACATGCTTGTCTCTGTCACTGGCTTAGCCTATGCTTGATCGCTGCTGTGGTCAGCAGGATTCCATTCTTCCTGGGTGGTGATGGCGCACACCTTTAATCACAGCCCTGGGATCTCTGTGAGTTTGAGGCCAGCCTGGTCTGCAGAGCGAGTTCCAGGACAGGCTCCAACACTATACAGAGAAACCCTGTCTTCAAAAACAAACAAAAAAGGATTCTGTTCATTAGAAAAGGAATCTAGTAAGCCAGGTCTGATGGTGCATTCTTTTAATCCCAGCATACACATTTTTTTAATATTTATTATGTATACAATGTTCTGTGTGTATGCCTGCAGGCCAGAAGAGGGCACCAGATCTCATTATAGATGGTTGTGAGCCACCATGTGGTTGCTGGGAATTGAACTCAGGACCTCTGGAAGAACAGTCAGTGTCTTTAACCGCTGAGCCATCTCTCAAGGTCCAAAGGCTAGAGAGTCAGGAAGGTGCACAGCATACGCCATGAGAGGTCTCAACTCATGAGGAATTGGTTATCATAGGTTCTACCTAGCAGGGTGGTGGTGGTGCATGCCATTAATCGCATCCCTGAGGGAGGCAGAGACAGGTGAATCTCTGGGTCTGAAGTCAGCCTGGCATACAGAGCAAGTTCCAGGGCAGCCAGGGCTACCCAGAAAAGCCCTGTCTTGAAACAACAAACACACATAAAACCTAAGCATCACGAGAGGAGTGAACTTCTGATAACACATCCATCATCGCTCAGGTCTCAGGCAGACTATAGAATTACGCTGTGTTAACAAATGTTCGCATTATTTATTCTGGAGGTTTAGGCAGGCAGAGCTCTATGAGTTTGAGGCTTGCCAAGGCACACAGTGAGACCCTGTCTGAAAAATCAATAAACAGTATTTGTCAAGTTCGGTGGTGCTCACTTTGAACCCCAGCACTAGGGAGGCAGAGCCAGGCAGATCTCCGTAAATTCAAGATGAGCCAGAGCTACCCAGTGAGACCCTGTCTGAACAGTTCACCTGGAGTCTAAGCATGAAAGTCTATGAACTCATGGGGGACAGTTTCCTTCAGACAACTATAGGCGGGGAAGCAGTATCATTTTTAAGACTTTACAAGGCCATTAGAATGATCTAGTGATAAATGCAGCGTCTTCCAGATGAGTAAAACAAGTGATGACCTATTAGTCATATATATCAAAAAATCATGATAAATTACAATAAGAAAAACAGGAGCAGAGAAGAAACCACAGAACTCAGAGGCAGGGGTGGATGATTAGGAAGGACAGGGCGCACTGCCACTTATAGACCTTTGAGAGCCATGTGGTCACCAGATGGCCTGTAACAGCCACATCTATGGCGGTAGTGACACCTGTCCACATAAGCAGTGCAGAAGCTGGTGGTGCTATTTGGAAACATGACAGTGCAGGCCAAACATCAGAGGAGCAGGATGAGAACAAGCAGAACCGTTAGGAGAACTCATCCACACCTTCAGGAAGTCCTTTACCCACCAGTGAACGCACAGACAGGACGGGAAATCTAGGCAAGCTGCATGCATGCTTATAACCCCAGCACCTGGAAGAGGCAGAGAGACCATGATTCTGAAGACAGCCTGAGCTACTAGAAAGCCCTGTCTGTCTGTCCATCTGACCATTCTTTTCTTCCTTCCTTTCTTTCTTCCTTCCTTCCTTCCTTCCTTCCTTCCTTCCTTCCTTCCTTCCTTCCTTTCTTTTCTCCCTCCGTCCCTCCCTCCCTTCCTTCCTTCCTGGTTTTTCGAGAAAGGATTCCTTGTGTAGACCAGGCTGTCCTGAAACCCACACTCTGTACACCAGGCTAGCCACTTCCACCTGCCTCTGCCTTCTAAGTGCTGGGATTAAAGGTGTGCCCCACCACTGCCCTGTCTTAAAAAACAAAATTTCACAGTGCTGCAGACTTATGGTATTTGATGATCATGAAGCAAGGGGGGGCACACAAGTCAGAGTCTAGAAAACTGATTTTTCATGTGAACCCAATCAATATAGATTTTAAAAATATATTTATTTGCCTGGTGGTGGTCATGGCGCACGCCTTTAATCCCAGCACTTGAGAGGATGAGGCAGGCGGATCTCAGTGAGTTTGAGGCCAGGCTGGTCTGCAAAGCGAGTTCCAGGACAGCCAGGACTATTACACTATTGTTGTTTGAGACAAGGTCTGTCTATGTAGCCCTGGCTGGCCTGGAACTCACTTTGTAGACCAGCCTGGCCTCAAACTCACTGAGATCTGCCAGCCCCTGTCTCCTGCGTAGTGGGATTAAAGGCATGCGCCACCATACCTGGCTCCTTACATTTACTTGAGAAATTCCTTTGATCAATTTACTTTTTATTTTTTAAACATTTTATTCTTTTTTTAAAGGTTTATTTATTTATTATGTATACAGTGTTCTGCCTCCATGTACACCTGCACTCCAGAGGAGGGTGCCAGATCTCGATACAGATGGTTGTGAGCCACCATGTGGTTGCTGGGAATTGAACTCAGGACCTCTGGAAGAACAGGCAGTGCTCTTAACCTCTGAGCCATCTCTCTAGTCCTGCTTTTTATTTTTTATTTCCCTTTTCTTTCTTTTTTTTAAATATTTATTTATTTATTATTTATACAGCTAGCCAGAAGAG